CTCTCTCTCTCTCTCTCTCTCTCTCTCATCTTGACTTGTTGCATAACTTTTAGGTTCCTGGAATTGAGTTCTATGCTTGAACCTGGAAGGCCACCCAAAACTGACAAGGCTGCTATATTGGGTGATGCTGTCCGAGTGGTGAATCAGTTACGTGGAGAAGCCCAGCAACTGAAGGATTCAAATGGAGATCTGCAGGAGAAGATAAATGAATTAAAGGTGTGCCTGCGTTTGTTCTTTAGTTTTTCTTTTATGTGTTATAAGCCATATTAGGATGCAGTTCATGTAAGGAGATTTGCTTGCTGAAATTGCTTGAGTAGACGTCCAAATTCTTGTTGGTTATTCGATAGGATGCTTTTATTCATTTACTTGTATGCATTTTGTACAGGCTGAGAAGAATGAACTTCGTGATGAGAAGCAGAGGCTCAAAACAGAGAAAGAGAACATTGAGCGGCAAATTAAAGCCTTGAATACTCAGCCAGGCTTCTTGCCGCACCCTGCTGCAATTCCGGGTCCATTTCCTGCCCCAGGCCAAGTTGTTGGTGGCAAACTGATGCCCTTCGTCGGATATCCTGGAGTTTCCATGTGGCAGTTCATGCCACCGGCTGCAGTTGATACCTCACAAGACCATGTTCTCCGCCCCCCTGTTGCATGAGTGCCAGGCTTTTATTTTTCTGCCTTGTGCTTAATGATAGCCTTTTTAGCTGTTGTTTCTCGTTGTTGATTTTTGTGTTCTAGTTTTAAATTTTTTCACATAAGATTGAATTTACTGGATGAAAGACTGGATACTTTCATTGACTGCTTTGGATAAGTTGTAACTTGTAGTTCTCATGAACAAGTTTCCTTCATAAAATTTTCCAATTTTGACCTCTTAGCTATTCTGGTCCAAAGGTGTCTGTGTTCTAAAATACAAAACTGGGAAGCATACATTATGCTACTCGTTGCCCATGAAAACTGAGCTAAACCGTTTGACTATGATTCTTGATGATGAAGATGCTAGTAAATTTGTACGACACGTCGTTAAGAAAGTTCTGAAGTGGAGAAGCAATAGGACATTAGGATGACTTAACTGAGCAGTTTGCCTTACAGTGCAAGATTTTCAAGCCCAACCTTTTAAGCTTTGATAAGAAAACTAACTAGGTAAATTACAAAATTTGTTTTGACATAATTTTTTTGTTTGTTTGGGATTATTGTTATTATTAACATGGTAGTTTGAATCCCATGTATTTTCCAGATACATAGTCTCTCCACACATCAAGAGCCCCAAAGCTTGTCATCAGAACAGTACTCAAAGCCATCACTGTACTAACTGAGAATACAATGAGAGAAGCCCTTCCATACACTTTAATTGCTCTCTGCAGAACTACAAGTCCAAGAAGTGATGCAACAAAACACATGATGGCAAAGATGAGTGCAGTATCTGCATGCTCCATGCCCAACAACAAGTACTGAAATGCCGACATGGAAGAAGAGAAGAACACCATGAAAGAACAGGTTGCTGCTGTTACCTGCACAAAATGTGAATTGGTGAGGAGCTGACTAAACAGTTTTGAAGATAAAATTGTGATGGATGATACCATAATTTTACCTCAGGCGCTATCCCAACTTGTAGAAGAAGAGGACTTATAAGCATTCCACCTCCTATCCCAAAGACACCCCCCAAAATCCCTGCTAATAGTGCCATTAGTGGGAAAATTAGTTTAGATGGTCTAACCTTTGGCAGGTCCTCGTTATTCTGCACCAAGAGTAATAGAAACAGTTTAGTTTTATCGAAATCCTTGTCGAAAAGAATACCAAATATTGAATACCTTTTGGTTTAAAGTATGATGTTGAAGGTTCTCTTTTCTGCATAGTATCCAGGCTGTATAGATTATGGCAAGAGGGATTTGGAAGGATGAGAGAACCCAATAACCTATTCCACAAGGCTCTATTGGTGTGATACCCTGCAAGGATCGAAGAGTCACATTCACAAAATCCACTTTAGAATATATGTGCTTTGAAGCTGTGCCCTACTGAAATTGACTATTCCCACTTGTCCTGACGCTGAAAATTTGATTTCTTTTCAATTATAGCTAGATTTCCAGATTTAAATATGGTCTCTAGGCGGATGTTTCTAGGACTATCATTTGACAAAACAGAATGCATTGCCTTCATAGATTTTTCATTGATGAAAAGTGAGTCTTAACCATCATTTGATGTTTCTATATCATACTAGAGGAAAACTGAATACGGAGCAGCCTAACCTGTCCATACCGGTTGCCACGAAGAAGGTAGATGATGCAGAAAGAGCACCATACCAGAACTAAGACCCCCATTTTTGTCCATGGAAGTCTTAGTATGCCCTTTCCTTTTGTTCCTAAGAGCGGTTCTGCAATACCCTTGACCCCTTCTGCT